TGGGGACTCAAGTCTGTGGCACAGCACACGAGTTTCAGTATGGGTTACAAAAAACGGGCAGAGGTCTGGTACTTGGGTAAAGGAAGTGGGTTTTAGAGTACGGTTTGTAAATAGAACGGAATTATCAGCGATGGTCAGGCTCCATGATAGAAGTTCTGTGAAGGCTCGTTCTCTCAGAGGGTAAGTGGGAGAAAGAGAATACGCACAGACTTACATTCCCGCATGCCAGGCTACACTGCCCGTTCCAAAGTCTCAGAAATCGAGGGTGAAGCAAATGATGAGTGATAATGTGTAGGCATCTTAATTTTTATTACTTTTTAAAAAATCGTCACCCGAGGGTCATTTTTAGAGAGAGAAGAAAGTGAGAGAGAGAGAGAGAGACTAAACAGGTGCCTCTGGCACATGTCCTCGCTGGGGGTCAAACCCGTAACCTGGGTTTGTGCCTTGACCGGGAATTGAACCTGCAACCTTTTGGTGCACAGGGTGACACTCTGTAATCATCAGAGCCATCCGGCCAGGGCTTTATTACATCTTTTTTCATTAACTCAGTGTCCCTGGGTAAAAGTTGATCTGAGTGTCCTGTTCTCCTTGAAGTCAGAATCGGTATCCTTTATTCCTGAAAAAAAAAAGTTAAAGCAAAAGCATATAATTCCATGGCTTTGGTGGAGTGGCTTGGAGGAGAAGGCAAGACAGGCAGGTGCACCTTCTCGGTAACAGCAAGCCGGAGACTCCTCCCCGTGGATTGAAAAGCTCTCAGAAAAAAAGGAGGAGTAACAGAGGAAGGGCGAGGTATCCATCCCTGCACTTTGAAATCGAATTGCAGATGTTGGTAGTGGCCCTGGATGACCGTGAGGGGCGTAGAACGGGATATTTTAAGAAAGGCTTTATTTATGCTCCAGAGGAGACCGACAAGCTGCTACCGTGGGAAACCAGCTCGGGGCAGTGGCCAGATATGGTGCCGGTACGCACAGCGGGGCGGCCCTGCGTGAGGCCAGTGCAGCGCCATGCCTGGGCGCTGAGCGGCTGCAGGCACTCGCTCTCTGCAGCTTTTCTTTCGTTCTCTTTTCTAAAGCTGACCCTTTCCCTTCTCAAACCGTGGCCTCTGTGTCTGGGTGGAACAGGTTGCTGTAGTGTTTGAGAAGTGGTTCAAGGTCCCGTTGAAACCAGGATGCTGTGTTCCCTCCCAGTTTGCAATGTGCTCGGTCTCCAAATGATCGCCACACACAAGCTGTAGGGGGCACAACTGCTGCCACAGTTAGATTTCAATGTGGACTCCCAGGCTTTATGCCTGTACACAGTCTCATTCGAGATTAATAATTTCATGGAACATAGTATTAGAGGTATATCTCTGGTTTTTATAGCTATGGAATTGAAGCCGACCTAAGTAGGAGTGGACAACCTCACGCAGTGATCTTTTTGTTGGTAATTATAGAAGACATGGAGGGTGGTGGGCAGGAAGGGGGACCCTGGCGCTGGAGGGGAAATAGTCATAGGGAAACACGGGTGCGACATTTTGCCCGGGTGGGTTTTTCAGAGCAGACCAAGCAGGAAAAGGAAACGGTTCTCTCTGCCTGTGGCTCGCTGTGGTGCGTGCAGGAAGACAGTGAGCAGTCAAGTGTCTTATGCAAAACAGGGTAGAGTTACTGTGGCTTCAATGAAAGTTGTGTAGGGTGTGCAACAAGAACATGAACACACTGTTGGGTGAGGTATCCCGGGGGAAAAGGAAACTTTCTTGGCTACAGTGTAATCGCTCTGTGCTGCAGGTGCGAGTGCAGGGCACAGAAGGAGCTACTTGTTCCTTGTGCCCTTGTTCCTGCCCCTTCCGGGCTGAGACCCCTCCAGGGTGAGCCGCCCTGGGTGCCCCGAGGGGAAACCTGGCCTGCTTCCTTGGTGGCCCTCCAGACGTGGTTTACTGTGTTACTGTGACTTTCAAAATTGTTGTTCGGGTACAGTGGTCTCCTTTTTCCCACCACCACTTTCCCCGACCCCACCTGACATTTTCTTAATAGATTTGCGATGGCTGATGATTTCACACCATTATTTCTGTTTCTCTTGGCACACCCAGAAGTCAGTGGTGGTGGGGGGTGGTTCCCGGGGACCACGGTTTCCCGGAGAAATGGTAGGACCCTGGAATTGGAGAAGATGAGTGAGAAAAAGTTACTCGTGTGATTACAAGGGCTGCTCTTGGTTCTCCAGGTTGGAAATAGGTACATGGTTTGTTTGGCCTGAAATTCTGTGGTTTGTTAGGGACTTGGAACCGAGGAAGTTTATCTTGCACACTTAGGCTCTCACCAGGTTCTCACTGTGATGAGCTGGCTGCCTTGCTGCACGGCGGAACGAGGACATAAGTCTAACAGAGTCGATCAGCGGAGAAGGAGGGGGGACAGGCATTAGCCGCAGCTTCGGGAAAAGCCCCTGCCTGCATGCCGCCCCCCTCCCACCCCCGCTGCCCCAGCGCCCTCCTCTCCCCAGACCGGGCAGGGATGCTGGGTGGCTGGGCTCTGGGATGCAGGAAGTCTCTGGCCACCGCAACCAAATCTGTGACTTGTGCCAAGTGAGCTGCCCTCTTCCCCCACTTAGCGACTCTTTCATAAAGAGTTCATTCTTCTTTTAAATTTTGCTTTCAGATGTGGCTCCCAGGCTTGATTGGAGGATAAACGCTGGCCATGACCTTATCAGACATTGCACAGCCTTATTGTTAACCCTCTCCTGCTTGCTGGGCAGGCCCACCGGAGACGAGTGGGGGCTGAGCAGTGGGTTGCAGCCTGGGGCTCTTAACTTGCCAGAGAAAAATTGCTGCCAGATGAGTGGCTTTTAGAGCCCAGCTGCCGATGTGGCCAGAAGATTAGAGGGAACCCGGCTTCTCCTTTCCTTCGAGAACACATTCTGGAGAGGTGACGGGGTTTGATGTGCGAGTGTGTACTTCCTTGTTTACGGGGCAAGTTACGGGTGACACGGGGACATCCTGTGAGAGGACCTGTCCAGGACAGGCTGAGGGGACAGGTGGGTGGAGAAGCAGAAGTGTGCCCCAGCTCCACGCGTGTTGTCTTGTGGCTGGAGTCCTGGTGTCTTACTTCCTGCCGGTGATTAAATGCAGGAGTGTGGGGGGCATAAATACGTGGCGATTCCATCAGCAGCGTTTAGCGTAAATGGCGTTCTTCCCCAGCAAAGAAACCGTAGGCGCTTTCACAAGCTTACATTTGATTTTATTTTATATCAGCGCCCACCCTGGAAGAATTCTGGCAGGAATAATGCATGCAATATCAAATTAATAACATATCAATAAATATTTTATAGCCACAAATTAGATCCCGAATTGTTTACTTGCCACCTTTTGAGAAACGGAGTTCTCTTGTCAGGAGTTAATCTCTTTGAAGACAGTTCTCCCAGCAGGGCACCCGGAAGCTGGCACCTCCTCCTCCTCCTCCCGGAGGTGCCTCACTGGGCTCCCGCGGATCAGACAGGGCAGGTGGACAGGCTGGTAGCCCGAGTTTCTCCTGCCGCTGTCCCCAGGGACCAGGAGAGGGTGCCGCCAGGGTGGGCCCAGCAGCCTCATTCTCGTCTGCCGCCCTAACCAGGAGCCAGCTGCTCCTTCTCCAGCCGGAAGCCCCTCTCCATCCCCCGCCCTCCTCCCCCAAAAGCTCGCAGTCTCTCCCCCGCCCCCTGAACCCTCATAAAGTTCTCTCCTCCTCGTACTCCTTTATGAAAGTAGCTTTCTTTTTGGATCTGGGCCACAGAGAGACGTGGCTGAGTCTTTTCTTGCTAAAGACCTCATTACCGGGACCCTGGGGGCCAGGAGCAGAGAGATATCGGGTGGAGGGTGGGTCACAGCAGAGCCCCCGCCTTAGAAAGGTGCTTTCCTGGGCTCAGCGCCTGCTCTTCACGTGCCTGTCAGCTGGAGGCGCCCTTGGCCGGCCAGATCCCTGCCCGCTCCCACGGGGAGTGAGCCCTTCAGTGGAAACCTGTGTCACACATACAGAAAAGCGCCCGGACCACAGTGTGCGCCTCAGCGCGTTCTCACACATACGGGCAACCCTGTACCCAGTCTCCTGATGCGGTTTACCTTTTTGTCGTACTATTCACCTCCTGATGATAAAGACCTGTCCTTGTACCTGCCGACCCCAAATGGCCACTGGTCACATGCTGTGGCGCTGGCAGCCCGTCCGTCTGTGTCAGCCCCTCGCACCCACAGATGCCATGTGCAACACACACGCGCGCGCGCGCGGCACGGGGACCTTCGCCATCTAAGTAGGTGCAGCGCCAGGACGCAGGGCGCTTTGGGAGTTTTGCCTCCTGACTGTTGGCTTCCTCAGCAGAGTGGCCGGGAGGGAAGGGGAGGCTGAAACCCATCTGTGTCCTCGCTTGAGAGCAGGAAGGGCCCTCATGGGGGGGGAGGGCGAAGGGGGGATAAGGGGCTGCCATGTACAAATGGGTGTCTCCTAGATTTCACTCATTCAGTATCTGCCCATCTCTCAGAACACTCGACAGTGATTTCTTTTGTCTTTTCTGTTTTTTTTTTAAATTAGCTCTGTACCAGATATGGAAACAGACTTTAACCGCAGGGAGTCAGAAGGTTGGGAATTGGCCGGTGGTTTTGTGAACTGCAGGAAAACGCTCTCTCCATCACTCCTAAAACAGATGGGCTGATGCCCTCACGTGCTGGTGGCTTTGGTCCTCGCAGACTTTCCTGCTCACATTGTCAGAAAGGTGACACTTGGCACCAGCGTCCTGTTGCTCTTGGCGGTGCAGGGCACATCGCCCACCTGTCCCCTGGCCGGCCACTGCAGGGTTCCTTGTGCTGGGGGTGGGAGGGTTGATCTCCCAGAATGGCCCGAGCTTCTCTTTTTGTAACCTGTGTTTTCTTTCCTTATGCAGGTGAGGTCTGTGTTATTTACGTATCCAGAAACTCCACTGGGCTCTTACTTTTGTGAAATGTCTTGGCCGCTCGCTCACAGCGGCCCGCCCTGCTCACGCGTGTGCCTGTTGTGTTGTCTTTGCAGCCGGAACCAGCTGTCGGCCCTGCCCCCCTGCCTGTGCGCCCTGCCTCTCAGAGTCCTGATCGCCAGTAACAACAAGCTGGGCTCATTGCCGGAGGAGATCGGGCAGCTCAAACAGTTAATGGAGCTGGTATGTGACTGATCCTTAAGATGCTCTTTTTTTTTTGCCTGTTTAATCATCGTCTATTGAAGTTGCCAGAAAGACTCTTTGCTAGGGTTGGAGAAAGAGGAGCCCGTGGAGATGAAGATGTGAAGAGCGGGAGGACCACCACTGGCGGTGGTGGGGCAGACACGGTTCCTGAAAGTTCCAGGTTTCCTGGAGTTTACCTGTCCTTACGTGTACAGGATGCCATACGCTCATTAGGTTTTTCTTTCTTTCCACCGTGGAGATAAGCTGGTCATGAATTACAGACCAACTGGAAAAATGATGTACAAACAAGTGAGCAGGCCTCACTTTGTGAACGTATGTAGTTAGGTCACGAGGCAGAGAGAACACAGTACCCCGGTTCTGTGAGGACTGGGGCCACCGTGCCCCACATGAACACATCCCCGGGGATGGAAAAGCAGGACACGTTACAGGCAGGCAGAGAGAGGCGTTGTGTGCGTGCACCCGAGAGTCAGACCCGCCGGGACTGCAGCTCCTTCTGTCCTGACTCAGCTCCTTGCCTGGTTTCTCAGGAGGGGAAAGAGCGACTCCTTTCTAGACTCCCATGGAGCTCAGCTGGGCAGGTGTAGAGGTGAGAACGAGCCATCAGGTCAGCACCTAGCGGTCACGGTGCGTCCTCCAGGCTGCATTACTTCATGCTGAGCTCGTGTGTGGCACAGAGCTGACCACTGTGGTTCCGACCTTGAAAAGGACCTTCCTCCAAGTGGGCGCCCGTCCAGAACACGGATGGCCAGTAACTTCCCCCTTGTGTGCCTTCTCCAGCTCATTTCTTTGAGTCCACCTGGACCAGTGTGGTGGTGGCCGGGAGGCCCAGACTGAGGGCTGTGGCCACTTTGTCGTGTCTGCAGCGAGGCGTGGCTGAGGGGGACAGCACCCGAGTCCCTCGTGGATCAACTGTTACTCGAGTTCAGAGACCGCTGACTGCTGTCTCGTACTGTTGAGTCTAGACTGTCGGAGGCAGATGTTTTATTTATTTATTCATTTTTTAAAAGATTTTATTTGTTTATTTTTAGAGAGAGGGGATGGGAAGGAGAAAGAGAGGGAGAGAAACATCAGTGTATGGTTGCCTCTCATGTGCCCCCTGCTGGTGACCTGGCCCACAACCCAGGCATCTGCCTTGGCTGGGAATGGAACAGGTGACCCTTTGGTTCTCAGGGTGGCACTCAGTCCACTGAGCCACACCAGCCAGGGCCAGAGAGGTTTTAAAGGGCATCTCATCCAAGGTCTTGTCATCTTACCAGATGAGGAGACTGAGGCGGGAGACAGTGAGCGACGTGTAGAACCTCAGGCTGGCGCGGCTAACTTGGCACCGGTGTTGCATCCCCTCACTGAGCACCGTGCAGCGGGAGGGCAATGATGCGAGGGGAAATGCCTTCTTAAGGTAGCTACACTTCAAGAGAAAATTAGTTCTAATGCTGTACTTTAACCCAAGGTAGCCACGGTATTATGTCAACATGTATGCACTGTAAAGTGAGTGGGATATTGTGTATTCTTTTCTTTTTTTGCATTAAGTCTTAGAAGTCCAGTGTGTATTTATACTTACAGTGCTTCACAGATTGGACGGGTCACCCTTGTCCTGCACAGTGGCCCCATGTGGCCAGTGGCGACCACCCGACTGGGCGGGGCAGCCTGTGTTCTTTCTACTTTATTGCCCCTGTGTGTCAACAAGCCTGACCTTTGTGAAAAGCATTGATTTGTGACGTCGGTGAAAATCCAGCCCGTGGCCATTATTTTACCACAAAGGGTAACTGGCCTTGCTTAAGGTCACAGACTAAAAAAAGATCAGTTTCCATCTGTTCTTATTTATCTTTAATCTTTTTCTAAAAATAGTAGTGTTACTGTAGTTAGCCACATCCGATGATTTTTTAGCCATCAATGGGAAAAAAGTTCTTGGGAGAGCCTAAAGCAAGTGTAGAATTACGTGGGCAGCTTCTGTTTTCTGCTACGAAGTAACCAACTTCTTAAAAACACAAGGGCGCCCCCCAAGCATCCAGGGCACCCTGCCCACCCAAGTGCTGATAAAAAATCTCTCAGCTTACGGGCTCAGCATTGTTGAACTCTTTTGGAAGAAATACTCTTAAATTTCTCAAATTTTAGACTCAGTATCCTAAACTGTGTTGTAAACTCTGTTTTCTTCCAAGTATAAGTGAGGCATTCCAGAGTCGTCGTTTGCTTAGAAAGCAAATACAGACACAAAAACACAGTAGCCGTCTACCAGAAAGGAGTTGTCCTTTCTAGTTTTTTGAGAGTAATTGGAGTTGGAAAAAAATATCTTACCTTCTTTTTTTTTTTTTTTTTATCTTCACCTGACAACATTTTTTCACTGCCTTTAGAGAGAGGGGTAGGGAGAAAGGAGGGAGTAAGAAACATGGGTGGGCTGCCTTCTTGAACATGCCCTGGGTGCAGGCATTGAACCAGCCACCTGGGCGTGTGCCCTGACCAGGAATGGAACCTGTGACTTCTTGGTCTACAGGACAATGCTCCAACCCACTGAGCCACTTTGGCCAGGGTTGTCTTAGCTTCTTCAGTGTGCCACAGTTATCTAAGAATCTTAAAACAAAAAGCATTGCTCTTCAGAGATTGGTGTGCCCACCATTTGAGATTGTAGCAGGGGTGTCCAGCCTTTTGGCATCTCTGGGCCACAGTGGAAGAAGAGTTGTCTTGGACCACGCATCAAATGCACAAACACTAACAAAATGTTTTAAGTGAATTACCGGCTTTGAGCTGCATTCACAGCCGCCCTGGGCTGCATGGGGCCTGCGGGCTGCGGGCTGGACACCGCTGTGAGGGAACATTGAAGAGCCGTGGTCCCTGCTTCTCCGAAGAAGCCATTCAGTGGCACGTCTGAGACGTCCTGTTCGTGAGTCCACACGAGAGGCCTGGAGAACTTGCACGATCTCAGCTCTGTGGAGCGGGCCCCCGGGAGGCGTTGCTGATGGGGACGATCTAATGGGCACTTGGAGTTGCTTCTGCACCTTTGTTCCCCAGTGTGGAGCCGCACACACCCATTCGTTGCTTTGGGCGCCTGTGTACGTGTGTGCATCCCGTGGTGGGAAGAGAGAAGGCCTGGGCTCTCCCCCAGCACCGGCTCTGCGCCTGGCGCTCTGCCGGGTATGGGACGGCTTATTTCATACAAACTCGACAGTCTCCCGGCAGGGCGGGTATTGCGTCTGCATTGTTCAGACAAGTCTGAGTTTTGTAAATACTGCGCACCCAAGGCTGTGCCGCTCCGGAGTGGTGGAGCGGAGGCGTTGAACACCCACGCCCTTTCCACAGCGCCGCATGGCTGGATGCGCCGTGTCTTCCTCCGCGTTGCCCGCCTGACCCGGAGTAGCGGCCTGGGTTGCTTTCTTTGGCATCGCTGGGTTCAGCTGGCAGCGATGTTCCCATTAACGTTGTGGCAGGTCGTGAGCAGCTGAGAGGAAATCGGGGTGTTACCAAACTGGGGTGTGGTACAGATGGGCCGTGTCTGTCAGAAAGACCCCTCTCCGAGGACCCACAGCCAGAAGGAGGCTCAGCAGACTCCCTTTGGATCAACTGAACCTTGTTTGACTCATGAAAACCATGCTACCGTATTGGAAACTCTTTGCCACCAAATCATGCCTGAAAGATAAGGGATAGTAAATATTGGGTAAGAGATGCTGTATGAATGCCATACAAGGAGGGGGTCCCACAAAACCCGGAATTTAGTTATAAAAATTGTATATTTATTCTCATATGTTTAAATTTCAGTCACCTTCAAGTATATTCCATTTGATGGAGTGCACCCATTGGAACATTTTTCTCACTGCTCAGAACAGTTTTGAACTCCTCGATTTTGATCCCTTTTAGTGCTTCTGCTATTTTTTTGTTTCACCTCTTCCACATCGGCAAAATGTATCCCTTCGAGGACTTTTTTCATCCAGGGACATAAACAGTCTCTTGGGGTGAGATCAGGTGAATAGGGAGGGTGGGGCACAGGGGTCGTGCCATTTTGGGTCAAAAACTGCTGACCACTCAGTGTGGTGTAGCAGGTGTGCTCACAAATCACCCATCATGAAATGGGCAAATGTGTTGCAAGAGTCTTCAAAACACACTCACTGAAGCCAAACACGGCCTCTCACAACGACGCCAGCTGGTCCACTGAGACAGGTGGGTTCTGAGAACACTCACCTAGTGGGGGAAACCTGTACTACAAGGGGCCTGCCCTCCAGAAGATAATTCTAGTTTTTTGGGGGTCCCCCCTTACCTGTTATTAACAGACAGCCATGAAGGCAGCCACATTTAAGATAGAATGCGATACATAATTGGGGAACATTACAGCGCATTTACTGAAGGATGAGAGTTTTCTTACCGCTTCCCTGTGTGTGCTCTCATGCTGGGGTCCGGAGACAGTCTGTTTCTGGTTTGGGCCTTCTCCGCTCTGTCTTCTCCTGAGTCACGAGTGTGAAAACTGTCTCCCAGCTCTCACGTCACGCGTGAGATCTCAGCATCACTGACTCGGAACCTGCCCTCACAGCCAGAAAGCGCACAGGGCCTGGCTCAAGTAGCAGCTGAGTGGAAGGTGCATTTCGGGGCCCTGGCAAGACGCACCCCTTTTTCTTCCCTTTCCGTGAATGTTTGGTTGTGTGGAGAGTTGGCATTCAAGGACTGGTTATAGACAGGGACTTACTGAGCAGCTTCTGGTGGAAACCCCTTCTTCCTCGTTTTTATGCGTAGCATTTCGATCTCTGGGGCAGGTAGTGGAGACGTAAGTTCACAGACCGGCCATGATCACTCACCCATCTGCACACTCTGCAGACGGCTCCTGTCCTCTGGGACACGTGGAAACCCCTGGCTTGTTCAACGCTCCTGTTGCTCCCATTTCTGCCTTTCTTACGAAGAGCCATGGGGTGGGACGTGCCTTTGTGGACCTGTGGAAGTAGAGTTTTATTCTGGAAAGAGACATTTAGTAGGTCTTGAGAGGTCTTAAATCTATCATACTA